AAAAAACACACGAGCTTTTGCTGAGGACAGCGCTGGGCTCCCCCGTGCCCTGGCACGCTGGCAAGGAGAGGAAGCGGGGAGGAGGCAGGAACCAGACGCGACTCCCCCCTCCCTTTCTTCCCTTCCCGGCTCCCCGCCCCTTCAGGAAGAAAGCAGTCAGAGATCTGATCGCTCGCTGCGACCGCTGTGCCAGCACCAACCACTACGTCCTCCTTTCCCTTCCATCCAATTTTGCACGGAGCGCCTGGCTGCCCGCGCGCCCGGGGCTGGGCAGGTCCTGACCGGCGGCGCAGCCTCCCCTCCCCGGGGGTTCTTAGCAAATCTCGTTGTTCCTGGGATTTCACGATCGAGTGGATCTTGCGTAACCCTATGTCCTGGCCTAAATTAATACTTTTTTTTTTAATACCAGAATTAATCCTTTAGGAAAAGGCAAATACTTCCGCCAAGTAACCCGCCCGGGAGTAAATGTGTAAATCACCGTGTTGACTCGATTCCTCCACCCCCACAGCCCCGGGGAGTTCCTAGCACAGGGATGGGGGCCCTTGGAGAGGACAGCCCAGCCCAGACATTTGTTTTCATCATCTTCAAGGCGGCTCTAGCAGCCAGAGAACCGGGTCCTGCTTGCTGCTGGCTTGAGTGTTACCAAAAAAGGCCTTTCTCTTGCCGGAGAGCTTGGCCCGCGCGTTGCAGCGGGGTGACGCGAGGTTCAGCCCGGGCCTCCTCGAAGGCCTAGCCAGCTGGCTGCAAGCATGCCAGGCTGAAGAGGCCCCCACCCCACCCCGCGCCCTATCTCTGCCACGAACCGGCGGGGGCCAGGCAGTGGTGGGTTGGACCGGAGGGAAGCTGCAGGGAGCTTCGAAGTGCATGCGCCTGCTACCTGCTGCGACCTTCTCACCCCTAACGCTGGGCTGTAGCCTCCGGAAGGGCCAAGTGGAAAGCTGACCTTTTGCTCCAGTTTAAAGCTGGGTCCTGGGAGGATACCAGCTAAGATGGCAAGCTGGGGAAAGACAGTAACCGCTGGAAGGAAATTTGGGAAGACTGCAGGCTTTCCCCCTTGCACCAGATTGACCCTGGCTTTGCCAGTGTCCCAGACCCCACAGCCAGTTCTGTCCTCTCTGGTGTCTTAGGTTGAAGAAGCCCTTTCCACACCTTGTTCAGTTACTGCCCATTGCGTAGATAATATTGTCACAGGGATTCTCCTTCAAGGAAAATTTATCTCCAAAATATTGGTGTTCTTGCCTCTCACAGTCCATGACATGTCCCCAGTGAGGGCCATCTCCAGACAAGCAGTTCAGAAGAAATTTATCACCATAAGTGATGGTAATTCTTTGAGGAGGAAGGGTGTCAAGAGAGCTATGCCTTTTAAATTAAAGGATTATGAGACTGTAATGGAAGTTTGTTTAAATGCATGTTTATTTCTAACTGTCTGAAGACACTCGGCATATATGTGTGTATATATATATCTTCTTTAGTAACAGGGAAGACAGAGACAGACAAGAAGATGGAGACATATGTGTGTGCATACCAAACATAACACTATGACACAGAATCTGACTTGCTTTTTCTAGCAGCCTGGCTAGAGGGTTGGGGCCAAGTTGCTATTCTTCAGTATTTTGGTTTAATAAAGGGATAGGCTGAATGAATATTAACATAAAGAAATGGGTTAACCAGCCAAGCCAAAGCTAAGGAGCCCTGAGCCCCAGGCTGGTAGAGATGTCACTCCATTTCCTAGACCTATGTTTTGACTCACTCTAGGGTAGTTGTAGTGTGGGGAGGGTTGAAGTCTGGGAGGGTGAAGCAATGCTCCCAGCAGCTCTTTACAGAGGAATCACTGCCGGGAGCCAGTCAGCCAGGGAAAGTTTATTATTGTTGGGGAATTCACAGTGAGCTCACTGTTTTGCAAAAACAGAAATCTCACCGCTTTGAGATAAAAGAGGGGCTCCCTAAGGCTCTTCCTTCCCCCTTTCTCCTCATCCTTAAAAACTCCCCTAATTTTGTACTTAGGGCTCCAGAATAAGCAGGAAATTGGGGTGCTGGGGAGAGCTGGATGGGGGAACAGGTTCTGAAGGTCAGGTTCAAAATAAAAATAAATACTTCTTGTTGCTTCAACTGAACTTTATTAAAATTAGTAGCAATAGTGATGAGAGTAGGGATCCTTACATTCAATGCAATTTACAAAGTACTTCCACATGTTAACCAGCAATAGTACCAGCTTTAATAGCAATACTAATAACCACCAACACTTACTGACAGTTTCCTATGAACCCGACACTGTGCTTTACATACTGTATGGTATATTTATGCTACATTCTGTGGCAGTGGCAGATTCACAATTTATGTAAATGGAAGAATTTAGTGGGACAATCTGTTTGGAAGGGGAAGATGAGAGTTGGTTATGAAGATGTACTTGCATAGCACTTTATGTGAGATTGTACGTAACAAATGGGGGGCTGATAGAAAATTTGAGCACCCCAAGCTACATCTAAGAACCTAAGCTTGTCAAAGCCACCTGCAGATGTACTGGATTCAGACCCTAGCTCCATCTCTGACAACTGAGTGACTTTGAGCAAGTTATTTAACCTCTTTATTTTTGGAGCTTGTAAAACGGAGTTAATAATAGAATCTACCTGGTAGGTAATACTGAGGGTTTAATGATGATGCAAGTAAACCACAGCAAGTCCCACTGAGTTGCCTCCTGTTACGACAAGAAACAATGAAATCTCAAACAGTCCCAATAAATTAGGAGTTCTGAACCCATTTTACAGATGGAAAACAGAGATTATGTTAGGGTAAGTAGCTAGTTCAAGGTCACAAAGGCAGTAAGTAATGGAGAGGAAATTCCAACCACGTGCGCTAGACTCCAGGACCTGAAATTCCATCATACTGCCTCCCCTCCTCTAGCCTTGCCCAGGATTATCTTTTCATGTTAAAAAAAAAAAAAAAAGCAGACCCAATATTTAGAAGAATCAGTTGAAGTGCCCCAACTAGCCCTATGACCAACGTATCTGTTCTCCAATAAACAATGACGATAAGTGATCCTGTAAGGAAAAAGAAATCAGGGACTTGCTCAGCGTTCTGGGGCACTAAAGAATTAAATCACAACACGTGAGAAAGAACTTTGAACACTGCGGCTGTGCTTTACAAAGACAGATCAATATTATTAAATGCCGCCCTCATCTTTTATCAAACCCGGAAAAACCACTCACCTGTTTGGTCTCTCCAGCACCTCCCCCTCCCTGCCCCAACTGCAGCTGTGCGCAGCCAGTAGACTGTATTCCTTAAAGGCCTCCGGGTGCTCGTAGCTTCTTTAGACATTCAGCCAAAATTTTTAGAGTGAGGCTTGGGGGAGGGGTAGCTCACCCTGAATTCATTTAGCTCCGTCGTTGAAGCTCAGGTTCCTAGACCAGGACACAAAAACAAAGCGAAAAGGCAGTTTCTGGAAGACTGGAAAACAGCTAATTTTGCAGGTGCTTCGTATCAGTGGTTGCAATGAATGTAACATTCATGGGGGGGGGTAGGTTTGATTGCAGATGTAATGGGTAAAACCCTATATGAAATTTTACAGCAAAAAATCTTGAAACAGTACATTTAAATTCACTGCCCGGGGTGGGGTGGGGTGGGGATCGGGGATCGGAAACAACGCTTGTGGTTTTGTAAATGCGTTTTTACTTGGGAAAGCCGGGCGGGGAAAGGAAAGGTCATCGTCTGTTTAATTTCCACCCCCAGCCCTGGACTTCCAGCATTAGCTCGCTGGGCCTCAGCTGTTGTACACACAAGGCGAGGGGGGAGGGGAGGGCGGAGGCGCGGAGGAGGGGCCGACTGGGAGGAATTTGGGCGCCCTGCCGCGCATGCGCCTTTCTCGAGCAACAAGTGGGCTCCACAGAGGAAGTGTAAAGGGGAGGGGGGGGACAACTGGTGCAGAGCATGGTGGTGACGTCAGCGCTCCGCCCGGGCGGCATCCCGCGCGGCCAAGCCCGGGACAGCGCAAGCCGCAGCGCGAGCGGGAGCGCCGAGACGCGCCTCCGGACGTAGAGTAACAATCACAACCCACATTCCGGGCGAGTGCGAGCGGGAAGGGATGCGACCCGGGTCGAGGCGCGCGCGAGCGCC